CCCCCTCTCTCTCTCTCTCTCTCTCTCTCTCTCTCTCTCTCTCTCTGTGTGTGTCTTTCTTCCTATCCTCAGGGGCTGCACCCATCTCCTTCTCTGCATCTGCCTTGCTTCATCTTTTCTCACACCCATCGCGCCGGGTTCGATCTCTCTGCTGCACTTGCTCTTCCTCCCCCCCCCCCCCCCCCCCCATGGGTTCGATCTCTCTGCAGAGCTTGCCGGCCTTGGGGATACCCTCTTCGAGGACGCCGACGGCCTGCCCTCCTACCTGACCGAGAGCCTCCCGGCGCCCGCTTCCGGCACGATTGGGCTAGACAACGCCACCAAGGAGGGCCAGGCGGCGCAGCCGGCCACCGGGGAGCGTTTGCCCCAGCTGGTGTGATCATACACACGTGACACACCATCCAATACTACGACTTCAGCACACAAGCTATTTGCAGGGGCCAACGTATGGGCGGGCTTTTTCTCTTTCGCGGGCGTGTGGCGCGCCTTGGTGATCCCGGATTTCGAGCGCAGTTCCGGGCGTCGGGCGTGGGCTCCTTTTCGTGTGTCCCCCCGCCCTGCGATCGACTCTTTTCCGGGGAGGGGATGCGGGCGTGGTGGATATCGAGCCCGAATATGAAAGCCGCATTGATTGGCGGCGGGCTACATGCGCGGGCAAAGGGCCAGCCCCTTTCTGCGGCTTCTCTCGAAGCACTCGTGCCGGTGGGGCAGCCAGAGGCCTGGCCTCTTGGAGAGGCACCCCTTCGCGGGTCGTTCTTTTGTCCGGCGGCAAGCGGGGTCGTGCCGGGGAACAGGAGAGCCGGGGGCTCACCGCCGGCTGGGCCTGCGAGCAATGTGCGTGTTGGGTACGAATCGCCGGTCGGGGTTGCCGCGTGCGCGCGCGCGCGCGTGTGTGTGTGGTGTCATTTTGCCTCTCCCTTGGTCCTCCCGGGTGCCCAGGCCGGAAGGCGTGCCCCCCAGGGAGAAGCACCTCCGGTTCTCAGTATGTCGGACAACAGGCACCCCGACATCCGCCGGCGAATGTGCGAGCGCGGGCGCGGCGCCACCTTCGGTAATATATCTCCCATCCAAAGGGGGGGTCCCGGTTGCCTCATTCGCCCGGGGCAATTCCTCAGGGACTGGGAGTTGGCAAGGCTGGCCCCGGGAATAATACGGATAACCCTCGGCGCCCCGGGGGTTCTGGCCTCCTTCCGTGGGCCCCGACTTTCGACTGGTCGGCGAGGCACGCTTCGCTGTTGCCTGCCTCGCACCACCCCCCCTCCTCCAGCTCTCTCTCTCTCTCTCTCTCTCTCGCCCTGTCTCTGTCTCTGTCTCTCTCTCTCCCTGTTTCTCCGTCTCTCTGTCTCTCTCTCTCTCTTTCTCTCTCTCTCTCTCTCTCTCTCTCTCTCGCCCTGGGCCTTTGGGGCTGGGACAGCCCCTAGAAGGTCGCGTATAGCGGCGGCTACGGCGGCCGCGGCCAAAGAAGGGCCCTGGGAAGACGGGCGCTGGGTGCCGACGGACAGATGCCTCTTGCGGCCCGGCCGATATGCCCCTTCCCGTGCTATATGAACAAATATCACCGGGGGCCGGCCCAGGGGCTGCCTGGTATGGTGGGCCCCACTGGCGACGGGTGGGCTTCGGCGCCGATCCAGCCTTTGCCCGATCTGGCCACCGCTGCTCGGGAGGGGCTGACCCCCATGGGGTGCCAAAGACCCGTGCCTACCCAGGGGGACTGCGCTCCGCGTGCTCGGGCCGAGGGGGGGGGTGGGGGGGGGGCGGCAGGGGCGCAGCCCGGTGGGGCCCAGGAGCGTGCAGGGGGGTCTCTCCCTCTCGCGCTTGCGCGTGTGCGGGGTGTTCTCGAGCGGAGGTGGGGGTGGGGAGGGGGTCCGGCCACGGCCAGCTACCAACATTCTCTTGGCCGGCCGGGGGAGGGGGGCTTCTTCGCAGCGCAGGGGCGGTCGGGCGTCGAAGGGGGGACGGGGCCCGCGGCGTCCTTCGGCCGAGGACGCAGGCGCGGGTATCGGTGTGGGGGTTGCCTGCCGCGGGGAGGGACCGAGCACGTATGGTTCCACGCACCCTGGAGAGGCATGGGGGGGGGGGGAGCCCAGACCATCTCTGCACGGCAGAAACTTTCTGCCCCTGTCCACCCTGCCAGCCTCCCGCGCGCTCTTGCGCTCCCACGGCTGGGTGAAGACCGCGTGCACAGGGGGTGCCCCCGGGTGTTCGGCGGGGCCTGGCGCCGCAAGAGACGCACCCAAGCGGAGGGGCTCACCTTCCTATCCTGCGCTTCCCCGCGCTTCCTTGCTTCCCTGCTGTTGGTCGGGTTCAGGGAGAAAGGGTTAATTGGCTGGGCCTGACCCCGCGGCGAACATTTCCACCCATGAGTAAGCCCGGAAGAGCCTGTGAGCCTCGACCCATCAAGAATCGGCCCGCCCGCCCGCCCACGGCGGGGGGGGGGGAAAAACACCCGAATCGTTGGGCTAATGAGCGTCTGAAGATGTATTTGTGCGCGCCCTTATGGATGAATGTCACTCTCGCCACTGGGACGCGGGGGGGGGGGGGGTATGTGGGGGCTCGTTCACGCACTTGCTCCCCAAATGAAAGACAAATGGGTTGGCCCTGGGCCACGGATGCTGGTGTTCTGTTCGGGACACCGCTGATTACGGGCAAGCACCTTCCCGCCGGCGGAAACGAGCCTCGTCCCAGCGTGCCCCATTCTCCCCCACCCCGGAGAACCGCCCTACAACGGGCAAACAATAGCTCGCCACATGGGCGCGCCGCACTTGCAGGGGGCAAACCCGTTCCCGCGCGACCTGGTCCCGCCTGTGGTCAGGGGACATGGGCACGGCAAAAATAACACCGCGGCGTGTTCCTCCCAATTCCCCCTCTCGTGGGATGTTGGGTCTGTGTGTGAGTGTGTGTGTGTGTGTGTGTGTGTGTGAGTGTGTGTGTGTGTGTGTGTGTGTGTGTGTGTGTGTGTGCGTGTGTGTGTGGCTTGTGGGGCTCGTGGTACGAGAGGGGCAGCCCGCCGTGCGTCGCATAAATCCGGCGAGGCATATATCTGGCTCCCCCCCAGCTCCCCAACAGTCACAGTCCAAGGCAGATCCCTTTCCACCCATTTGTGTCCCCCCTCTCCATTTTGGCATCCTCCTTCCCGTCTGTGTCCCGGAGTGTTCCCAAAGACCCCCTTCTCGGCTGTCCGTACTCAGCCCCCTCTCCTACCCAATGTCCTTGATGGACGCCGCTGTCGGTCCCAGCCGCCGGAAGGCGCTCCCCCTGCCTTCCCGGACCGTGTCTCTACTCCTGTCGGCTTTCCTGCTGGCGGCCTGCTTCTCCTTCTCGGGTGTCGTGGCCGACTCATCGGCCATTGACCACCTTGACGCCGCGTCCACATCTTTGCCGAGCTCCGGCTCCGGCCCTGGCTCGACTCCTGGCTCGACTCCTGGCTCGACTCCTGGCTCGACTTCCGGTTCCGGCTCCGCCCCCGGCTCCAGCTCCGCCCCCGGTTCCGGCTCCGCCCCCGGCTCCAGCTCCGCCCCCGGCTCCAGCTCCGCCCCCGGCTCTGGTTCCGCCCCTGGTTCCGCTTCCGGCTCCGCCCCTGGTTCTGGCTCGACTCCTGGTTCCGCTTCCGGCTCCGCCCCCGGCTCCAATTCTGCCCCAGGCTCCGACGTCCTCCGTGCGTATCTCAATCCGTTGTCTCTCGATCATGCTCCTCATTTCCTGTTCTTTATTGACAATGTCTTCGGGTGTGAACCATAGTGAACGAGCCTCTCATCTTGGACTCCGTGCACAATGATCGAATTTTTGCTTTGGCCAACAGCAGCACCGTCCCTGGGGGGCTGAAGGCACATATTTCCTTGGCTCGGTCAATTCGCCGATCTGCTGCCAAGGGCTGGCCTGAGGGGATCGAGAACTATATCGATATTCCCCTGGACAACCCATTCGGCGGGGGCGGCAGCACTGGCGGCAGCACCAGCGACAGCACCAGCGGCAGCACCGGCGGCAGCACTGGCGGCAGCACCGGCGGCAGCACCGGCGGCAGCACTGGTGGTAGCACCAGTGGCAGCATGCTCGGCTTCACCACGCTTGGATCTCACGACACCGGCTTTTTCGCAGCCGCTACTCAGCAGGCCAGTAATGGGGTTGCCCTCTCAAGGGATCTTGCCCAAGTCCAGTCCGGTTCGACAACGGGTGATTTTAGCGGCCTGGCCAAGCTCTTGGCCAAGCAGTATTCGGTTCGTTACCCTTTCTCGGCCCTTTGCTGGACATCCGTCCCCGCAACAATCCATCCTTTCAGGGTGCACCCTCTTCCTGACCTCTTGTCATGATGCCCTCCTCTGTCTCCCATTTCTTCGCTTCATCCACACAGGGTCTCATTGCCATGTTCGCCATGAGCGTCCTCTTTGCCTTGATCTCCTTCCTCGCGGTGTTCTTCTTCCTGTTCCGCTGCTGCTTCGGCTGCTGCAATGGCAAAGGCAACGCCTACAGCAAGTCTCAGCGCGTTGTGGCTCTGATCATCTTCTCAATTGGCTCGATCCTCCTGGTGTACGGGCCAACTTCTTCTTCTTCTTCTCCTCCTCCTCCTCCTCTTCCTTTTGCCCTTCTTTCGGCGGTCTTTCCTCTCGTGGTACCACACCCGGACAATTCCGACAGGCCCCGGCCCCGACTTACCTCGGTTGTTCCCGTCCCGTGAATCCCCCCCATGCCAGTGCCTTCCTCTGTGTCGGCATTGCCGTCAATGCCATGATGGACCGCGTGCCATCCGATATCGACACCCTGGTTTACGGCATTACGGACCATGTGACTGCCTTCCCGGATCGTGTGTTCCAAACCTTCGATGACAGCATTGTCCTGGTGAACCACACCCTGGACACCTCGCTGGCGCGCATCGACCTGGTCATGGAGAACCTCCTGGTGGGAAATGTTGGCCTCAACGACCCGAACACCTCGGCCCAGAGTGTGTCGGCCCTGATTGACGAGGTGGTGGAGGAGCTCTTCACGCTCGATGCCCTGGCGCAGGATCTCTACAACGACGCCATCCAGTACGACCAGGCGGTCGTCAGCATGACCAACCAGTACCGGGCCCTGCTGGACCGGACCTCGGTCACGCCCCCGGGTTCGGAGCCGGATGACATGCGCACGCTCAATGCGGACCTGGACGATGTCTACGTCCAGACGCGCACCACCTGGCATGTGTCCGACACGCCGACCTCCTGCCAGGCCCCGCGGTACTATGTGGCCACGGTGTCCGATCCCGGGCAGTCGGTGCGCGATGACCTTGAGACCGCCTTCGACAGCCTGAACCTCGGCCAGGTGGCCACTTCCATCCAGGCGGAGAAGGACCAGCTGCTGGGCGACATCCGGACGACCATCAACAATGAGATTGCCCAGCTCCGGGTCACCTTCGGCGAGATGGTCACCGAGATGGAGAATATGGTTGCCGACATCCGCCTGAACATGGTCGACCCATTGGTGGATAGCGTCAATGGGATTGTTGATATTTATTCGGAGATTCGCACTGGCACCGTGGACGAGGCGCTGTCGATTCGGTACGTGTGCCATCGTTTCCCCCCCCCCCCCCCCGCCCCCCGAAACAGCTCCCCCCAAGGGGAGTCATGTACCTTGCCGTGTACTTGCACCTCCCCATCCCCTCCTCTCCTTTTCTCTCCCTCTCTCTTCGCTCTGCATTTTTCGCTGGACCAGCACACTGACCTTGCCACTTCTTCTTCTTCTTCTTCTTTTTTTCTCCCCACCCCTCCTCGTTCCCTCCCCCTGCTGACGCCCCGACACAGGTCCAAGGTTATGATTGCCTTCTTCTGCCTGCCGGCCGTGTGTGTCATCCTCTCGGTGCTGGGGCTGGTGCTGAAGAACCACTTCCTGATGAACTTCAGCATGTTCCTGGTGTTCCTCTTCAGCCTGATCCTTTGGATCTTCGGAACCGTCCACCTGGCCATCGCGGCTCTCGGTGGCAAGGCCTGCGATGTGGTGGTGTACTCGGATATCCCGCCGGTGGTTGATCAGATCTCCCCGGAGTTTGGGGATTATGCCCGCACCGCCATCCAGGCCATCGATGACTGCCTCGACCCGCAGGCCAATGTGCTGGATATCATGAATATGACCGAGCTCATCGACCTGAACCAGTACCTGGACCAGTATGTCAGCGAGGCGGACATCCAGCAGGCCATTGCCAGCTTCGACTTCTCCACGCTCTATGATGATCTGTCCTTCACCGGGGGGGTGGACTTCACCACGTACCTGTCCGACTCGGACGACATCATTGCCGATGCGCAGAACGCGCTGCAGGTCTTCGGCCAGCTTGTGGAGGCCAACCAGTCCGCCGGCGAGGCCCTGGCCACCCGGGTGAGCAAGCTCCAGCAGGAGGACCTGCTGACGTGTGTGGTGCTCGGCACGTCCACCCAGGCCGAGGCCCTGGACGAGCTCCTGGCCCTGGGCAACCGCATTGACCTGCTCAATGCGCGAACCGACCAGATCCTGGATGTGGACCATGCGGCGGCCACCACCCAGCTCGGGGTCCTGGTGGCTCAGTATGAGATCATCAAGGCCGAGATCCTGGGCCTGGCCCAGTTTGAGCAGGATGTCATCGCCCACATGAATGCCCTGACCACGCACACGGTCGACACCCTGGCCAATGATGTGGTGCCGGCCATCATGCAGGACATCACCCAGCTGGTCAACACGGTGGAGGGGTCGCTCTGGTACCTGACCGGGTGCTACTGGGTCGGGCAGGATCTCAATGCCGCGCGCAACACCCTCTGTGTGTCGATGGTGGGCTCCCTCGATGGGGTGTGGTGGACCGCCGGTGCCATCGGCTTCTCCTTTGCCATCTATGTGATTGGCGCCTTCCTGGCCGAGCGCCGGTGCATTGGCGGTAACGCCGATGAGTCCAAGTCCGGCGGCGAGTCCTACGAGATGTATTAAGCCATGCGCTGAGGTGGCCCCCTGTTGTGGGTGTTCCTCTCTGCCCATGTGTGTCTTGTCCTTGTGTCCTTTTCCCCCTTCCTTTCTCCCCTTCTTCTTCTTCTTCTTCTTCTTCCGTTGGTGCGGTGTGTCGGCCCTTTGCCGCCGCCGCCGCCGCCCCGAGTGCACATCCCTGCGCCGGCGGCCAACATCCGAATATATATATATATATATATGTACCTGCTTGTCCGCCTTGCCGTGTTTCCCGCATTCACTTGCTTGTCTTGCCGTGATTCCCCCATTCACTTACTTGCTTGTCATGTGCAGCAACTTTGGCCGAGGCAGTGCCGTTGGGCCTGCCGCAGCACATTCATGGGTTGGCTCCCTTCTCATTCTTTTCACTGATGGCCGCACATCCACACATGCACACACACACACACACACACACACACACACACACACACACACGCCATACCACCAGGGGGGAGGGGTGTGGAGAGCAGGAAAGCCGTGCAATAGAAGAAAATAACACTCATACATTGACCATGCAAAAGAAGGGGAACAGCTCCGACAGCAGCTATGCAGGCAAACCCTGCCGCGTTGTGTAGGGGACCGCCGGGACTCTGTCAATGCATGAACCTAGTCGCGTCTGTTCCGCTGGGGTTTGGTGGCTTTCTTGAAGAGGGCTACCCCGAAATCGATGACTTCCCGCAGGAGAGCATACGCTATCAGGATGGCTGCCAACACAATGAACAAGAAGATGACGGCCCGGGTGAAGTGCGAGTCGCGAGCTGCGCACACCACCGGGGGGCAGGGGGGAGGCGAGACAAGTGCAGGGGGAAAGGGAGTGGGTAAGCGGCGGCCAAGGAGGGAGGAGAGCCGGAAGGAGGGGCACAGGGCAGGACGCACTGAAGCACTTGGCGGTGGTCGAGTTGCACGAGTCATTGGCTTCGAGGGGGGCCGAACCGAAGCCGCCGGCGGAGGATGGCGCCGAGGGGACCGAGCTGGAGGAGGACCCACCCGGTGGCTTGCAAACAGTCTCGCACAGATCGGCCACCGTGCATTCGGAGCAGTGGCCAATTTCCACCACACGCGAGGAGAGATCCGGGCAGCCGCACTGACAGTACTTTTGGATCCCCCGGATGGCGGCCTTCTTCCCGGTAGCTGGCCCGCCGAGGGGAGCCATGGTCCCAGTGCCCAGGATAGCATTCTATGAAGGACCCACGGCCAGCAGCAGTGTCAGACTCTTGGTAATCGCCCACGAAGGAGGGAGGGAGAGAGGGTGGCGGAGGGCTGAGAGGAAACGCACTGCCTGCTGGTGCGGGACGCCAGTTGCCCGCTCGGCCACGGCCAGACCCATGAGCAGCGGCGAGAGGAGCAGCAAGAGGGCTACCAGCAGCCGAGAAACTATCGACGTAGGATGCCTCATTGTGGAGGGGACCAGGAGAGCGGGACAACAGAGGGCGCAGGGGGAGATGGACAAAGGGCCGAGAAAAAGGGATGGCCAGTGACGGTGTTGGTGGCGAGAGGAGGAAAGGTGGGAAGACGTGACTGCATGCGCGTGTGCGCCGGAACCCATGGGGGTGCTCCCGAAGAACTTACCACTCACTCGCTCGGCCGGAGGCAGATGGGCATCACCACACACGCCGAAGCATGGCCAGTCTGGGATGGCGATCCTTCGGTGCGGATGGGCCACCGCGGGGGGGTCGATCGCCCTGCGTACCCAGACCCCCCGGTCAGCACCCCCCGCCCCACTCCGCCTCTCTCGCTCTCGCACACCTCTCTTCCCTCAAGCAGCCAGAAGCCCCCGGCAGCCAGGAAGGAGGGCCAAAAATAACAAGCACGCAGGAGCGGTGCTCCTGAAAAAAAAGAAGAGGGACGAGGTCAAGAACCGTGAGCCGCTGGGAGCCGGGCCAAGGGGCTGGCGGATGGGGGGGGGGTGGACACTGCCAAGAACCCCGCAAAAATACACACCCGGACAAGCCCGAGACAATCCACAGATGACTTGGGGGCGGGGGGGCAGGGAGGGCGACATCTACCGCAAGATCATGTGACACGGGCGCTCCCAGAACCGCTCTCTCTTCCCAGCCCAGCCAAAGTAGCGGCAATCCTTTTTGTGCAATGGCCCTCCATGCTGTCCGCAGCCAGGCGAGCAGGGTGTGGTGGATCTTCGCCCCCCTCCCCGCCGCGCCTATTCCCCTGTGTTTCCTCCTCGTCACGCTTGCATTTCCTCCGTCAAGCGGCGCCATGCGGCAGAGCCGCACACAGGGGGGGTCAATCTGGCCAGCTCTGGGCATACAGGCCAATGGGAGGGGGCATGCTATTTCTAGTGTTATTTGAGTGGTGATAAAAGTACATGGCGTGGCGATCGAGGGGTGGAGGAGTGGAGTGGCGCTTGGCGGCCGGCCGCCGTCGACTGAGCGCAAAAGGGAAATCCATGTGCACATGCGAGAATGCGCGCGTGCGCGAGGCAGAGAGAGAGAGAGAGAGATAGATAGATAGATAGAGAGATAGAGAGGGTGGTCCAGTCCTTCATGCCGCCATCGGGGGTGTGCCGCTTCTCTGTGCACGACGCGAAGAGTCCCAAGGGACTGGCGTGAGAGATAGCAAGGAAGTTCGGGTCCCGAAGGAAATGCACGGAGGCTGGCTTAGTCCTTCGGCCGGGTGGCGAGGAGGTAGATGGAGAGGATGAAGATGAGGGCACAGAAGACACCGGCGCAAATGGCGAAGATCATCCACTCCTTCCAGATGAATGGGCACTGGTCGGCCGAGGCCAGGGGAGTATCGCAAACGAGCGCATCAGGGGCGGTGACTGGTTGGGTGTGGCCCCGAGAGTGGGGGGATTGTCAGCGAGGCGGGGAGAAGGGCCGGGGTATGGTGGAAGGTAGAGCGAGGAGAGACAAATGGACAGGCAGAGAGGGAGAGACAGGAAAAAACAAGCGGGAGATCGTTGCGCACAGTGGTCAGCATTGAAGGCGGCAATGCTAAAGCCGCAGTTGGTGGACGCGGCGGAGGCCGAGCCGGAGCCCGACACCGAGGAGCCCTCCTCCGGGCGACGAAGCATGATGCGCACGGGCATGTCCCGAGAGCCGGACACCGCAGTGTCCTGGGCCGAGATGCGATAGTCCATGATGTCCTTCTCCGTCTCGAGAGACGGGTCGAGATTGTAGCTGGGAGTGGGGGGGGGGAGAGAGAGAGAGAGAGAGATGGACAATGTAAGATGGAGAAGCAGCGACCGGGTGATGAAGGAAGCGATCGTGGCAGCGACGGAGGGCGACCCGGAAAGCCCGCGTCCCTTCCCTGGATGCCGACGTACCGGGTGGTGGACGGGCACAGGTCACCGATGTTGACATAAACCTCGTAGCCACTGATGTTGGTCAGGGTGACACCGAGTTTGATGGCAGTCAGCATGTTCGGATGCTTGTTCAGGGACCCGAGGATGAAGAATTCGCTACCGGGGGCCTCGCAGGCAGCCGGCGCGTGGGTGACGACACCACACGAGGGGACCGACCCGTGCTGGGACGATTGGTTCAGGTCATACCCGGGCAGGGAGGGGGAGGTGAACTCCGTGGTGAAGGTGACGGTCACGGAGTCCTTGGGGAATTCACCGAGAGCGGTGGCCATGAACTGGGGAAGGCGAGGCGAGGAGGGGCGTGTGTGAGTGACACCTTGGTAAGCGTGGAGGGGCCGGTCGACAGACACGAGGCACAGGGGTCAGCGCACCCGGCGCGATGAGGCTCCGCTCATGCCGACATCCCAGTGGGCGGGCTCAATGCGAAGCTTGGACGGGTCGGAGGAGGTGGCCACCACACGGACCGCCTCGGAGGGGGTCGTGGAGGAGGATACCAGGACGGGAATCGGCAAGCCGACAGGCAGGGTGTCACGCAGACCCTGCAGGGTTAGGCTCCCGAGGGCGGTGCCTGTTTGGGGAAGCGAGGGGGGGGGGGAGGGGGGGCAGGAGAGGTGAGCATTTGGAAGGGCATCAAGTGCGAGCAGAGCAGCGAGGTCGGGCAGGGGGGGGGGGGAGGGGAACGTACCCGCCACGAAGGCGAGGGCAAGGCAACTCCGGACGACGGTGGGCAGCAATTTCATGGTGTGGAACAAAGGCCGAAGAGGAGAATCGGGGAGCAGGTGCGGTGTCTGCAGGTGCAGGAGAGTGCCCAGGTGGATGAGAGTGTGGGCAGAGGAGCAGGGAGCAAGAAAGGGGGAGGGGAAAGGGCCGACGGTGGGAGAGGAGGAGAAAGTGGGGTGCCGAGCTCCGCGAGGTATCGGCATGTGGAGCCCGGCGTGAAAAATCCCCTCTCTCTCTCTCTCCGGGGGCAGTGGGGGGGGGGGGAGGCGGGTTTACAGGCCCTCAGGATCCGAAGCGCGCAGGCATGTCCGGCCAGGCGTGGTCTGTTCTCACCGATGGACGGTGTGCGAGTGCGTCCGGGGGTGCGCGCCGGCGTGTGTCCGTGCGCCAAGCTGTGTGGTCGTCCGGGCGGCGAACCGCAAGCAGGCAATGGTAACAGCCAACGAAGGGTGGCCCCGCGCGCGCGTGCTCGCGCGCGCAGAAGTTCGATCCACTCGGGTCCGTGCAGCGGCAAGAGACGGGGGGATCTCAGAGAGGCCAGCTTGATTTACACAGGGGGGAGAACATGCCGATGGCCCGGAGAGGGCGGCACGCCCGCCGAACTGGGCGGCTATGGTGCGGTCCCGGCTCCCCCCAACTCCAGCCAGGAATGATTGCGTGCGTGGGCCTCCTATTGACTCTCATGTGTTGGAGGAAGAGCCGGCGAGGGGGGGGGGGGATTTTGCGCCCGCACATGAGCCCTGCAATATGCATGTGTACGCTTACACATGGCCGGGGAATGTCGGTCTGGGTGGTTAACACTTGAGGTGTAAGAAGAAGGGCCAGCGAGACCCCAGGGGGTGGCATCACTGCCAGTGGGCCAGGGAGCCACAGAGCGAACCAGCGATCCCGAGCAGGTCGGTCTGTGCCCCCGAGATAAATGAGCCATCAGCGCGCCTGGCCTCTCTTCTGTGGCTTTCCATCCGAAGAGGAAGGGCCCCCCTCTCCCCTCTTCGGCTCTCGCTGGGCGGGCGGGAGAGGGTGCGTCCTCACGCCTGAAGGTATGTGCACATTTCCACATATTGACTGATATGGAAGGGGGGAGCACATCCGCCGGTAGGGCTTGGGCCGGGAAACCACAGGCAGGCCCCCGCCATCTATCCGCCCGCTCCCGCCCCAGGGGGAGGCAGCTTCTTTTCCCTCGGTTGAATCGGAGGGAGCCCCCCGGGGGGGGGGGGGGGGGCGAGGAGGACGCGCCCACATTTTCGCCATTCCCGCGCCGGAACAAGCAGGGCGCCAACAAATTGGCCGAGGAGGGCACATTTGTGTGTTCATTTTTGCGTTGTCGCTGCTGGATATTTCCCATGGAGCACCGATCTCCCTTTTTGGGCGCCTCACCGTTTGGAGAGAGAGAGAGAGAGAGACACAGAGAGAGAGAGAGAGAGAGACAGAGAGACAGAGAGACAGAGAGACAGAGAGACAGAGAGACAGAGAGAGAGAGAGCGCCGGGCCAAAGCGGTGTGAGCGCCGGGGGTGCCTCCCTGTCTCGACTCTTGCCCTGGAAATAGAAAGGGACAAAGAGGCACACGGGATGTGTTTGGCTGAACATCACCGCAGATGGTCATCTCGCCAGAAATCCCCATCCGGAGTATGGACAGCATATGTGGTTTACTGTTTATTTTAGGCGGGCGGGCACGAGAGGGAGCGTGTGCGATTGGATGTGACCCTGGTAGAGGGCCATCGTTCTACACATGCACACACACACACACACACACACACACACACACACACACACACACACACACACACACACATGGGTGCATGGGGGATCAGGGAGTATGCAAATATCCTGATGTGCTTGAATGCGTGCCTGGGTGCTCAAGGCCTTTGTGCCGGCACGCGCGCACACAACACCGGGGAGAGAGGTAGGGGCTTTTCTGTCCGTCTATTGTGGGCATGAGACAGACGCTGAGGGCATGAGGGCGAGAGGCAGGGTGGCCACCGGAAATACATGGGGGTCCCCCCGTTACAGGTTGAGCAGCTCATCATCGTCATTGTCATCGTCCATGGCGAGGGCCGACCGGACAGGCGCCTTGGCACCACCAGCATCGGATGCGCCCCTACGAGTCTCAGCAAGGGCGGCCGCTGCGGCCAGGCGCTCGGTGCGAGTGACCTCCTCGCGGGCCTTGTTGGCCTTCTTCTTATCCTGGATCTTCTTCAGACTGGTGCGGCGAGAAGGGGGG